ATCTCATCTGTCAAAATGCAGATCTCCTAGATAAGTCTTGGGATGGGGGATGGGGGTTGAGGGGAGAAAGACAGAATAGTTAAAAATGAATTGTGTAAGTCAGGATCTGAGTTGCTAATCCCACATGATCTCATTTTTTCTTTTTTGGACATAAAATTGAAGTTGATGCTTAGGTTACTGAATGGCAGAATGAGACAAGTGTGTCTAAAATGCCATGTAATGTTCTTTAGTGCTGTTGAATTGATTCTAACTCATAGAGACCCTGTATACCGCAGAACGAAACACTGCCCAGTCCTACTCTGTCTTCATAGTCCTGCTGTGTTTGAGCCATTGATGTAGCCAGCCACTGTGTCAGTCCATCCTGTTGAGAGTATTTCTCTTTATCACTGACTCTCTACTTTACCAAGCATAAAAGTTTTTCTCTAGGGACTCCCTCCTGATAACATGTCTAAAGTACATGAGATGAGGTCTTGACATCATCACTTTCAAGGAGTGTTTTGGCTTTGCTTCTTCCAAGACAGATTGGTTCTTCTGGCAGTCCGTAGTATATTCAGTATTCTTCGCCCATACTATAATCCAAAGGCATCAGTTCTGCAGTCTTCCTTATTCATTGTCCAGCTTTCACATGGGTATGAGGCAATTGATAATACCATGGCTAGGTCAGGCTATGTAATCAGATAATTAACATTTATCTTTTTCGTGAACTGTATGTAGAGCTCCCTATTTAGAGTATTTTTGATATCCAAGCAAATCTTTCAGTAAAGCTTTCATTCTCTTTGTTAATCTTGAAACAGTTTGAAAAGTTTTTTGAGTTGAGACTATTTATTTATTTTAGCCATTCAATATTTATCTATTTCTTGTTCTTTTTACACATGGAGGAAAGCAATAGTATTTTTTTTTCCAGAATATTGACACTAGTTCTTGAGGATGAGAAAAGATAGATAATGTTTAACCTATTCAAAGTATTTTTATGACATAAGGACATTTGAAGAACTTTTTTTTTTCTCACATAGGAAATAAGGCATTGTGTCATAAAATATGAAAATTGGCGATTTTCAGTGTCAACAGTAGGAAAAAAATTAAATTTATGAAACTCTGTTTTCATATTTAAAAAGCCTGAATGGCGCAACAAGTGCTTGGCTACTAATCGAAAGGTGATTTGAACCAGCCTAGTGGTTTTGCAGGAGAAAAGACCTGGCACTATGTTCCCATAAAGATTACAGCCCAGAAAACCTTACGGGACAGTTCTATTCTGTCAGTGGGGCCCATATGAGTCGAAATTAACTTGACAGCACCTAACAACAACATTTAAGTATTTATGAAATTTATGAAAACATGAGCAATTGTGTATAGGGAATATGCTGCCTTAGTTTTAAAGGTAAAAGATTGAAATTTTGCTTTGGGTAAAGAAGCAATTATTAACATAAGCTTTTTTCTTTTTTATGATAGCTGAGAATATGGATAGACGACCTTTTTTAATAAATTTAGGATATGTACTTTCTTTGATCACCATTGTTTAAAGTTTTGCTTTTGAATACTTACTTACAATGAATACCAAGTACACTGTGGCACAGAAACCTAAGTACCTGTTTACCTTGCTAGATTCTGGTAGACCACTTGTTTTGCTAGTCTTTGGAATTGAAAGGAGTGTCAAATACACAGAAGCCAGAGTCATCTTGGCCAGATGGTGTTTGATACAGATGGATGGTTAGTTGTCATGCAGATCTTCTACTTGGTAACTTGTTGCTGCCATCTGACTCAAAGAATCATTCACACACACTGGCTGTCAAAAGCATCTTCTCTTCTGTCTGTTTTAGCTGTCATGTCTATGCTCTGTACAGAAGTGTTGACAAGACATTGCTGTTGTACATTTTCAATTTGGTTGTTAGTGATTTTTATGTTTTGTGGGGGTTTTGATACTGCTGAAATGTACTTGCTCTGTAATTGTATTGTTTTTGATGGTGTAACTATTTCTGGCCTTTTAATAGGACTTTCTAGGTTATACATTTATTCAGTTCTGTTCAATGGACAAAACATTTAATAAGTTTCCAAGCATAGTAAATAAACTGAGTATTACTGGTTATTTCCCATTTTGATGTAATACCCTGTTCTGAACTTAACTTCTCACTGCCTTGTGCTCAAAATCTTTATACTTTTTCTAAATATGTATTTTCTCAAATTACTGCTTTTTTTTTTCTGACAGTATAAAGTCTTTTTTTCTCCAAAATGTCTTCAGACTTTGCCTATCCTTTGTATCCATTTTCTCAAAATTAATTTGCCTTTGCTTTGTGTCATTCACCTACTGACCTTGTCTCTGTTTTCCTGTTTCATAGGAATGTAATCAAAGCCATTTCTCCATCCTTCAGTTCACTATTGAAGGCTATTTCTCTGATAATTATTTAACAACTTAGTTAATTTATTTGTTTAAGTAGTATTTCCTGAGCATCTCAATATGTGTCAGGCACTCTGCTACACTCTAGAGATAATAAAAGAAAATATCCCCTGCCCTTGATGAGTCCATAGTGTAGAGAGAAATCAGACATACAGACAATTCATCTAGAATATTATAATTGCTGTAATGAGTGTGGAAAGTGCAATAGGAGAACATGAACCATTGCTATTCTATTTCCCCTGTTGTACTTACAGAAAAATATAGGGGAAAGAATGTGTTTTTAAGATTCCTACAGAATTTGTATGAACTTTTTATAATACTTTATTAAGTGGATTTTCAAGATAGTTAAGAACTTCAATGTGAAGTAGCCATACATCCATTGATTTTTTTTTCCAGCTAATGAATACATTTCAGTATTATTCATTATTCTATGTTGTGTGAAGACATACTAAAGTATGTTTTTAACCCAGAGACTAGAGATGAAAATTTACTGATAGAGGCGTTCTGAGTTGATTTCAAAAGAAAAGATGTGGCCATTTGGTTTCTGCATTAAGGTGGGGAAAATACAACCCATAGTGGAATGAGAATGGACTGAGGCTTGAATAACTTAGATATTTATTGTGGCCCTATCTCTAAGTTAAGGAACTCTGGTGGTGTAGTGGTTAAGGCATTTGGCTGCTAACCAAAAGGTTGGTGGTTCGAACCCACCAGCTGCTCCACAGAAGAAATATAGGGCGGTATGATTCCAGAAAGATTTACAGCCTTGGAAACCCAATGTGGGTCACTACTAGTCAGAATCAACTCTATGGCAGTGAGTTTTTAGAGTTTTTATCTCTAACTTATTAAGTTTTTTGTACTGGTTACTTAATCTCTGGACAGTATCATCAAAATATACAATCAAAATATAGTGAAAGAATGGGTAATACGAGTTGATTTTATTAAGAATGTTGTGTTCTTTAGAGAAAGTTCTAAATACACGAAATAGAGAAAATTTTAACATCAACATGTTTGCTTATTCCTCAGACCCAGTGACTGGGTGTAACCCAGTAAATTGAAGGCGTTAAAAATTGCTGGCTCCTACTTTCAGTCAACATATCCACTCTTTCTAGGGGCTTGGATATGCAGTTATGGAAGAATAAGATGTTTGTCCTGATAAGTCTAGCCCCATACTAGAATTTGGCATCTAATGTTCTGTTCCGAGATTCATATTCGTAGGATAGATGGTCTAAATGGACTCACGAGATTCATGCTTGTGTTCACAGTAATAAAATTTGCTTGGATTCTTTAATTTCTTTTTTTTTTTTTTTCTCTCCCCAATAAGAATGTACTGGATACCGTCTATGTTTAAGTTACAAAGCAAAGCTTTATGGGGAATGTTATCTAAACTGCCCATAAGGAACTTGTGTCATAGCAAAGATGACACAACACTTGGGTTACTTATTAGGTCTGTCAGTTATACATGTTTGAAGTATATTATATATAAAATTTAAAAATATATAAAATTTCTCCTGTTATTTGGGAAAATGGGGTATTTTGCTTTAATATCTTAAGCTAATTAATTTTTGAGAATCTTAGAACAGCTTGTACTTTATAAAAGACATTAGGTTTATTGATCACTGAAAATATTGTAATTTCATTTATTTTGAACTTTTATTAAAATTCTATTCTAAAATGAAATATTTAGTATCTGCTGAAGAACATTTAGATTATTAGAAATTCAGTCCACATTTAAAAGAATTTATAATGTAGTCTTTTATTTATTTGTTCCTTCAATGATATAAACTGATAAAGAATTCCCCAATTTTTTTTTTTTGCGATTTTTTTTTTAAGACTATGTACTAATTTAGTGACTATAATGCAGCATTTCAAGTTTGCTTTAAGGTTTACAACATCTGTATTCCCTTATGTAAACTCAAGACTTTTTTAATGTTTAATTCTCGTAACTATTGTAATAAACAGCAGGATGAATAGATTAAAAATATAGAGGAAAGTATGGTATTTAAAATACACACTAAAGATTAGCAGTGGTGTTCTCTTGACTTCTTAAAACAATCTTAGAAGTTTCTGGTCAATATAATCTTTTAATTTTTATTTGCCCCTTTGATTTTAGCTAGTCTTAGTTGTAGCTACTTCCTTCAGTCTTTTGCATTCTAGAAATAAATTCAGAAGTAGATTTATTTAAAAGACATGAAACCTTAATTTTGTTTTAAATTAGTAGATTTATTTAAAGAATATCTTTCATGCGGCATCAGTTTTGCCATTCATGCTTTTCTCTTTGTTATCATTAAGGATTTTTTTATAATTTTTATTAACTAAAGTTAAAGGACCAAGAAACCACATGTTGCTCTTTTGATAAATTATTTTAATTAATTTTTTTTTAATTTTTATAGTTGTTTTAAGTATTTTAAGTCACTGATATTTGTAATAATTATAAATACGAACCTGGAGCTAGTTTTTAGCTCATAAATAAATATTCTATACCTAGGAAATGACAACATGGGGAATCCATATCTATTTAAGTTACTCATGTCTATTTATAATTATTAATAAACAGTAAATGTATATATCTGTCAATAAATATAAGGCTAACTAGTTTTTATGTCAGCAGACTGAGAACTATGAACAGAGAATACGTGAGCAACAGGAACAGCTGTCACTTCAACAAACTATTATTGACAAGCTAAAATCACAGTTACTTCTTGTGAATTCCAGTCGAGGTATGTTCATGTTAACTTTTATATATTCCTTGTGCCTCTTGGAGAGAAGAAAAGTGGAAGTCAAATTTTTCTTTTTTATTCTTCTGTCTGTCAGTTGTTGTGGATAATTTAATAACTGGTATAGTTACAGTATTGTTTATTTAAGAAATGAAAACTTCTAGCATTTGAGAAAATGGACACTCACATACACTATATAGTAGAACTCTTAAGTTGTTAAAACTCCTTAGTAGGCACTTTTACCACTAAGTACGAAAAACTTTTTATGTCTGTGCCTTTTGAACCAAAAATTACAATATAATGAATACATTGTAAGATAATATTTGTTCACATACTATAAAGATATATATGCAAGCTTGCTCATTGCAGTATTATTCTTAATAGTGAAAAACTTCAAACAAAGAAATATCCACCAGTTAAATTGTGATTATCCATATAATGAAAACCAGGTAACCAAGAAAAGTAATAATAATAGATACTTACTTCGGGTCTGACTCCATGGCAAATAACAACAACAAAAAAAAAAAAAGGCAAGATATAAAAATAAATATAATGTTATTTCATTTCTACAAAAGTGAATTCTTACATGAATTTATATGTATAAGAAAAGAAAAATCCTGACAGAATATAAGCCAGCATGTTAACAGGAGTAATTCACAACTGCTAACAGTTGTGGGTAGCTTTTATCTTTTCTGGCATGTCTGCATTTTCTAATTTTTCTGCCATGAACATGGAGTAGTTACATAAATAATTATTATAAACAAGAAATGAATCCCTGAAAATACACTTATATAATAAGAGTAATTGTTGCTCGCTAAAGAATAATGTAGAATCTGCAAAACACCGCATAACGTGGATGAACTTGGAGGACATTATGCTGAGCGAAATAAGTCAGTCACAAAAGGACAAATATTGTATTAGTCCGTTATTGTGAAAGTTAAGGAAAGGTTTATATATTGGAGGACATTTTCTTTGTTGGTTACCAGGGGTGGAAGGGAAGGGGAGGGAATGCTGTTAGATAGATAGAGATAAATATTGATTTGGGTGAAGAGAAGGGCAGTGTACCAAATGTGAGTGACCAATATGGCAGCATTGAGGATGAGAAAGAGAGAGTTACATGGGCAGTACAAACAACAAATATGAACCCCTTTGTAAATACAATACTGAGTTGTCAATGAAAGCAAACATGGGTATAGGGACGGATAGATGGGTGAACAAGCTAAACAATTATGTATGTCTAAATGGAGAGTGTATCCAAGATCATATACAGGGTTGGCAGACAATGGGCCTCTCGAAGAATATGAAGGGATGGACACTGGGAGGAGGTTAACTATGGGGAGGAAGTGGGAGGGGAGCTGCTGCATTGTAAATTTTGGTCAATGACATGAGACAAAGTATATGTGAACTGCTGTATGAAAAGTGAATTTACTCTGTAAATCTTCACCCAAATCCTAATTAAAAAAAATTAAAAAAAAAAAAAAGAGTAATTGTTGCTGATGGTAAGATGCAAAGAGCATGCTTCTGATTTTCTAAATTCTACATATTTTGCATACTGGTAGCCGCTTTGTGTGTTTTAGTAAAAATGAACACCTTGTCAAAATAACTACTATCTAAAAGTTTTTTTAATAACTCATAGTTTAAATTGCTATACCTTAAAATTATGGTTTTCGGTTTATATTCTTTTTCATTTTTTTCAGATGGTACCAAAAACAAGGGTTTCCTACTGATGTCCAAGAGGTTTTTGTTTTGCAGATAATAGTTATGGCTATGTTCCCCTGCTTGAAGACAGTGAAACAAGGAAGAATAATCTGACTCTTGATCAGCCACACGATAAAGTGAAATCAGGAATACCAAGAGAAAAACAATTAAAGGTAGACTGCAATGCCAGGTTAAATCCTAAAAGAAACAAGAAATGAGAACTCATATTCCACAAACTTCTGAATTATTTAGTCAACATTCTATCACAGTTTGGGTGGGAAGAAAGGAGGGAGAAAATAGGCAAGATTCATTTCAACCCTGAAATTTCTTCTGTGGAAAGCAACACTCAAATGCTGATGCATAACACATCTTGCTTATTTTATTTTCCTGGGATAGGTCCACCACTGGAGTTCTAAACAAAAGGTCTGTATGTTTGAACATATGACTTATAAGTTCCTAAAAAGCACTGTTTCCAAGTGAAATAAAGGAATAGGTTTGATATTTCCCAGTGTTCTCTTTTCTGCTATGCAAACATTTATCATTTGTTTCCTGAGGTAGATAGTAGACACAGATGATTTTAGATTATAAAGTGGCATTCTAATTTGTTTATTTCAATTACATGTGCTTAGTTTAAAAAAAAATCACCTGAATAGTTTAAGCAGATGTCTTCATTCAAGCAATATATAGAGGAATATTCCATATCTGCAAGAATGTTCTTGCAACATTAGTTAGATACATCCATCCAGGAGCAGAATGGTACATCTTTATAATGAAACACAACAGAAATTAAAAAAACTAAGTATATATAAATATGGATAGATCTCAGAAACAATATTGAGTCAAGGGAAATTATAAAATGAGCTCCTAAAATGGGAATAGTTTATGTAAATACTTAAAGTGTTATTACATTAATGTTTATGAAAACATATGTAGTAAAAGGACAGGAAAGATATACAGCTCTGTTTTAAAAAAATTATCAACTCTGTAGATGGGAAGAGTAGAGACTATGGGCTATCTAGAAGAGGAATAAAAGGGCCTTTGGTTGTATGTATAACCTTTCTTTAAAGAAAACAAAATCTGAAGCAAATAGGGCAGAATTGTAACATTTGTTAAATGTAGGTGATGGGTATATGGATGTGTATTATATTATTCTCCATGTTTCTCTGAATCACTGAAATTTTATAAATTTGGAAAGGAATTTTTCAATGAGATGAGTTGGGTTTTAGTGGGGTAATACATGTTCTAAATAAAATCAGATCTAACAATTAAGGGCTCTTACCATCAACAAGACCATGAAAGCAGAGTGCTCTCTTTCTTTCTTTCTAAATGAAGTGGGAGATGTTAGCTTAGTTTTTAAGGGCTTTTCAGTTGGCTGATCCCATAACTAAGAGTATCTTACATTTTGTACTAACTCAGAAGTTTTTATTTAAGGACAAATCTGAGAAATCCAGTTTTGAGGCTTTTTCTCAAAACAAAAATTTTAGAATGAAAAGTACTGAAAGTATTTTTCAGTTCTTTTTTTTCATTCATAATCATATTTCTATTTGAATAATTCAGTTCTTTTTTCACCCCACTCCAATTTCCATTCATCCAAAAAGTGCTAATAATTATAAGAAACCATAAGCACTAGAAATGTTCAGGTTTATTTTGGAAAAGAAGAAATTCAGAAACAATGATTCTGACTTTTGAAATGCAGCTTTATGATTGGACATATTATAACACCTTATAAAATCATTGAAACTGCTATAAAATGCTGACTTACAAACTTAGTTCCTAAGTAAATAATATATACAATCTGTTTTCTTGTTTCAAGTACTTGTAACTGCCATTATTTAGCATTAATTTTAATCAGATGTTTTATTTCCAGTTATAAAATTTCCTTGAAGATAATAGAATACCTCTAGTTCAAAATATATAGAAGGTATTTGTTAAAATAACAGTCTTTGTTCTCACTGCTATCAAGTCAAGTATCTCTATGGAAGTAGATTGCCCAGTCTTCCTTCTGAGGAGTGGCTGGTGGGTTTGAACCTCCAGCCTTCTGGTTAGCAGTCAGATGATGCCTTAGGCACTACGCCACCAGAGCTCCTGTTTTTTTAGTTCAAAATATAAGGAAGGTATTTTTGAAGACAACAGTCTTTGTTAGGACATAACAGATGATGTGAAAGATTCTAAGATACTATAAATAATTGAGTTTAATTTAAATGTGGGTAATTTTTGGTCATTTATGAAAGGTTTACCATTTATTATTTAGTCAGAATAATTAATCAAAGTTCCTTGGGTGATGTAAACAGTTTGCACTCAGCAGGTAGCCAGAAGGTTCAAACCCAGGCAGCAGCACTGCAGAAGAAATAGGACTGGAAATCTCCTTTTGTAAAAATTGCATCCAAGAAAACCATATGGAGAGGTTCTACTATGTAATACATGAGGTCTCCAAAGTTAAAAACCAATAACAAAAATGAAATTAAAAACAGGATAAATAATTAAAGGCAGACCTTAAACAAATCTTTTGAAAATTAAATCTGTTTTAATTTTGTAAGATAAGTCCCTTACTTTATCTGTAAGATAATATTATCTGTACACCTAGGCTGAAATTAAAGCGTAAGTAGCAGAAGTCACATCAGAGGTAGCTTATTTCCAAGAATTAATAGTGTTGCATCGCTGGTAACTACATTGGTAACAGGCAAAGAAGAAAAAAAAAATTAAAACTTCAAGTAAGAGATAAATCTAAATTTAGTGGGTTTTCTTAATTATCTTTACTGGTAGAAGAAAAGTTTATGTGATGGATACATTTTAGTACTTTGAATAGCTCTTTTATACTGTAGCCATTTTATAAAAATTCATCATCTTGGATTTCAGCTTTCTGTCTTCCTTTATATATCTCTAGCCAGAGTGCTAAAGAACAATAAATGCATAATGAATTAAAGAGAACAGGAAATATATTCTAAAAGAATAGATAAATTGGATTTATTTAATATTTGAGAACTGAGTGTATATTCAGTATGAAAGATTAGGCCTAATTTAGGAAAATACTAGCTAGTAAAGCAATTGAAATTAAGAAATTTTCCAATGGAATATATGTTAATCTATACTTACTTAGTTATAATTAAATTTACTTTTCTGTTGCAAGTCTGGAACACATGAAATCTTTTCCTAAATAACTTTGAATTATTTGGTTATAGTAGGGTTTTTCCAAAAATGAGAATATTCCATATAGTAGGTTGCAGTTGGATAAAAGTATGTGTATCCACCTGGACAATAATTAGAAGGCAGTATGCAGAACTTGTGTTTTATTAAGTATGCAAAAGCATTCGACTTTGTCGATCATAACAAATTACAGAGCACATGTGAAGAATGGGAATTCCAGAATACTTAATTGTGCTCATAAGGAACTGGTACATAGACCAAGAGGTAGTCATTAGAACACAAGGGGATTCTGTATGGTTTAAAATCAGGAAAGGTGTGTGTCAGGCTATATCCTTTCACCATACTTATTCAGTCTGTATACTGAGCAAATAATCTGAAAAGCTGGACTACGTGAAGAACACAGCATCAAGATTAGAAGATTTATTAACAACCTGTGCTATGCATATGACACAATCTTGCTTGCTGAAAGTGAAGAAGACTTGAAGCACTTACTAATGAAGATCAAAGACTATAGCCTTCAATATGTATTTCCAGTTATAAAATTTCTTTGAAGATAATAGAATACCTCTAGTTCAAAATATATAGAAGGTATTTGTTAAAATAACAGTCTTTGTTCTCAATGCTGTCAAGTCAAGTATCTCTACGGAAGTAGATTGCCCAGTCTTCCTTCTGAGGAGTGGCTGGTGGGTTTGAACCTCCAGCCTTCTTTATGGTGAGGGTCACCATAAAGAAAACAAAAGTCCTCACAACTGGACTGATAACCAACATCATGATAAATGGAGAAAAGATTGAAGATGTTAGGGATTTCATTTATACTTGGATCCACAATCAACACCCATGGAAACAACAGTCAAGAAATCAAATGACCTATTGCACTGGGCAAATCTGCTGTAAAAGAACTCCTTAAAGTGTTAAAGAGCAAAGATATCACTTTGAAGACTAAGGTACACCTGACCCAAGCTGTGGTATTTTCAGTGCCTCATATGCATGTGAAAGCTGGACAATGAATAAGGAAGACCACAGAAGAAATTGATGCATTTGAATTTTGGTGTTGGTGAAGAATGTTTGAAAAAAAAAAAAAAAACATGGACTGCCAGAAGAATAAACACATCTGTCATGGAAGAAGTACAGCTGGAATGCTCCTTAGAAGCAAGAATTACAAGACTTCTCATGTAGGTTGGTCATGTTTTCAGAAGGGATCACTCTGTGGAGAAGGATATCATGCTTGGTAAAATAGAGGGTCAGTGAAAAAAGGGGAAGGCCCTCAATGAAATGGATTGGCAGTGGCTGCAATGATGGGCTCATGCATAGTAAAGATTATGAGGATGATGCAGGAATGGGCAATGTTTCATTTTGTTGTACATGGGGACACTGTGAGTCAGAATCAACTCAACAGCACCTGACAACAACAAGCAGAAATGGTTAAGGTGATTGTATGATTTTTTTTTTTTTCTAATTTCAATATAATATTGTAAGTCTTTTAAAAAATTAGTGTATTTCGGGGAATTGTGTTCCCTCTCAGTAGTTTATCCTCTGTAATGAAGGAGTAGGTTGAAAGAAATGCTTTGAATCATAATAGAAGGATGCTACTACTAAACACCACAGCCCTTTGCTCCTGTTTATTGGGTGGTATGAGGGTTTGTTTTCTTTAGAGTTTTATTTTTTCAGGATTTTGGTTTTTTTTTAAGGATATTGGAAAAATGAAAAAACTATGACATTATAACAAAGGATAACTGTAGTTGCATTGGAAAATGAGACAAGATTCAGCTCCCTGAATCTTACCATTGTGAATCTCAGAGGGAAAAAGTAGCATAGTCTAGTTGCCAACTGAATGCTGTTATGGATGGCTAGGCTTTGGCATTAATGTTTACTCTCATCTTTCTGTCCCCTTTTTTGTTTCTGTGGGAATTCTACAAAATTCTAGAGTGTTTATTTGATACAAGTAAATATGCAGGGAGCAAATAATACAGAATACATGAAGGAATTTGGTGATATTGGTAAATTGTTTTTCTTCATTAATTCATTAACT